CAGCCGACTGGGGCTGCCACTGAGTCACGAGCCCACGGGCTTCTGTGCTGAATAAATAGCTCTGGGTGGGACTGGATGGCTCGGCAGGGGGATGTGAAATGCAATTAAGCTTTTTTTGGGGTCTTTGGCTCTGGTTTTTTATATTTCCCCCCCCACACCTTCCCTTTTCTGCTTTTTAACCCAATTAATTCAGTGCCCTCGGAGGAGAAGGGGCTGTTGGTGGTGTTGGTGGCACTGGGGGCTTCCCCGAGCTGCCCAGCTGTGGCTTCGCTGTGGGTTTGTGTTAAACCTCGAGGGCTGTGGCCAAATCCAGGGCTTCTTTCCCAGTGCTTTTCCAGGTGGAAATGCCAGATCCCGGCAGGATTTTGACCCCTGCAGTGACGGTGGGGACTCCTCCGCCTGGAGCAAAGGCTGGAGGGGATTGTGCCAGGGCAGGAGCTGGCATCGCTCGCCTCCAACCTCATCAAGCCCCACGGCTTTAAGGGCTCTGCTAATTGCTTGTGCCGTCGCTAATTGCAGGAGAAGATGCCCTTCCAGGGATGCTCCGCTCCCGGCTCCGTCGCGGGTGGCTCTGCTGGGGGAATTGGGGTTGTTTCCCCTCCGTGGGGGCTGCCCACACCCCCGAGAGGCTGGAGGGGAAGCCTGGGCTGGTCCCGTCACTTTTCCCCTCTCTCCATAAATGAGATTTTTCAGCCCAAAAGCTGAAGCTGGCTGTGGGCTCCGAGGTGGTGTATCGGGAGGAAATGGGAACCCGCAGAAAGGCGTGTGGTCAGCATCTCCCCAAGGTCCTTCTTGTGCTGCTGGTGGTTTTTTTTCGCACGTTCAACAAAAATAGGGCTGGGGGTTTGCATATTTGTTGGGTTTTGGTTGTTTGGCTTGGCTTTTTTTTCTGGAAAAACCTTTCAAACGCCCCACAAAATGAACCTGGCTCTTAATTAAGCTTGTTTTCAGAGGCCAGCCCTGATGCTGGCTGGATGTTCAGCCTCCATCGTGGCTTCCCCACTGACGTGGTCCACACCAGATGCACCACGTCCGTGAGCATCTTCACATCGAGGAGCCACGATGAGTTTAAGCGAATTTCCTTCTATTTAAGCTCTTCCCCCCCCCAACCCCCCAGCTTTCCCTCTGCCGTGTGTCGTATTAATGAACCCAGGGCACTCATTAATGCGCTTAACTCCCCTTCTCCCCCCCTGCAATCGGCGCCACCAGGTACGTAACGCTCTGCCCTCCATGGGTGGTTTCCCCCCCTCCAACCCCGGCATGGTGTGGTCTTAATGCCCGAGCCTAATCAGTGCTGTGAGATATTAATTAATCTGGGCGCTATCGAAGCGGTGCGGTGTCGGAGCGGCCAGCTTGGCTGGGCAGTGGGAATGAGGGAGGGGAGAATGGTCTGAGCTGGCAGGGGGGCTGGTTTGTGTCCCACCGCTCAGCGAGGAGGTGTTAAAGCTGGGTTTGATGCCTCCTGGCATTTGGGAAGGTTGGCGGGGGGAACGGGTTTGGGAAAATCCGGGTGGGATTGAGACATGCTGGCACCTGCGTGGGTTTGGTTTTGTAGAACCATAGACTGGTTTGGGTGGGAAGGGACCTTCAAGACCACCCAGTGCCACCCCCTGCCCTGGGCAGGGACACCTCCCACCACACCAGGTTGCTCCAAGCCCCCTCCAACCTGCCCTTCAACCCCTCCAGGGATGGGGCAGCCACAGCTTCTCGGGCCAACCTGGGCCAGGCTCTCACCACCCTCACACCAAACAAGTTCTTCCCCACAGCTCAGCTCCATCTCCCCTCTTGCAGGGTCAAACCCTTCCCCCTCCTCCTAGGGCTCCCCTCCCTCAGCCAGAGTCCCTCCCCAGCTTTCCTGGAGCCCCCCTTCTTGAGGGGCTCCAAGGTCTCTCCAGAGCCTTCTCTTCTCCAGGTTGAACCCCCCCAACTCTCTCAGCCTGTCCTCATAGGAGAGGAGCAGATCACATTTTGGGGGCAGCACATTTCTGGAGCCGTTTACATTTTGGGGGAGGTCTCTGGATGTGCTGGGGGGGAACCCCAGCATGTTTTGTTCCCCCCCCCTGCCCCGAGTTGCGGTGTCTGCCCCGGCAGCATCGAGGCGCGAGTGTGGAGCCGTGCCAGCGGGAAGCTGTGAGTTTAATTGCTGAGCTAAAAGGCTCTGCTCCGAGGGCTCCGGGCGACGTCTGGGAGAGCGATTCCCTCTCCGGCATCCTCCTGTCTGTCCTGCTCAGCCTCATGAGACACACGTCCTGGCAGCGCCAGCCTTGCCCCCCCTTCTTCCCAGTCCCTGGCGTCCCCGCTCTTCCTTCCCTGCCTCGAAACTTTTCTCCATCCTTTCGTGCCGGCATCGAGAGATGCGTCTCCCCATCCTTGGGGCTGGCTTGTGCTGCCCTCCGAGGTCTGGGTCTTCTGTCATCTCCCCCAAAAGCATCTCCCCTCGCTGATGATTTGTCACTTTTTATAACAACCCCCCACTTTGCAGATTGTGGGCTTGGAACCGGAGGGGACTTGGGGGAGCGGCGATTAATGAGCAGGGAAGGCAACGAGCTGCAGCCACGCAGCCCAAACCCTTCAGGAAGGTCAGGAATCACAGAATCACATGGGGTTGGAAGGGACCTCTGGAGATCATCTCCTCCACCCCCCTGCCAGAGCAGGTCCCACCCAGAGCAGGTCCCACAGGAACGTGTCCAGGTGGGGTTTGAATGTCTCCAGAGAAGGAGACTCCACCACCTCTCTGGGCAGCCTCTGCCAGGGCTCTGCCACCTTCAAAGTCAAGAAGTTCCTCCTCATGTTGAGATGGAACTTCTTATGTTCCAGTTTGTGCCCGTTCCCTCTTGTCCTGTCCCTGGGCACCACTGAAAAAAGCCTGGCCCCATCCTCCTGACACCCACCCTTGAGGTATTTATAGGTGTTGATCAGATCCCCCCTCAGTCTTCTCTTCTCCAGACTAAAAAGCCCCAAGTCCCTCAGCCTCTCCTCATAAGGGAGATGCTCCAGGCCCCTCATCATCTTATTATTAATTTATTATTATTCTTAATTAACAGGAATTATTAATTAACATCAGGACATTGCTCCGAATTTGGATTCAGCCCTTTCCCCACCTCTGCCTCCCCCCCCCCTTTAAAGGTGGTGGAGGTTTAATGCAGCCCCACTTGTGTCCCCCCCATCTTTTTGTGGCTGCTCTTTTCCGATGGCTCTTCTTTGCACCGGGATGATGGAAACTGCTCCATCTGTCCCCCCTCCCAGCTTGGGGGGGCTGCCACTGTCCCCCCCGTGCTGTCCTCGCCCCACGGTGTGCTGTGAGGAGGACATGGGGCCACCGTTTTAATCAGTGCCCGGTGTGTTTGTCTCTCTTAAACACGATTAAAGAGAGATTTGCTGGCTTGCTTTACAGCTCTGAGTTACATCGGGATCTGCCCTGGCACTGGGGGGGGAAATGAAGACGGGGTGATGCAGAAGCTGGATTTCTAATGCAGGTTTTCCCACCTTTGAAATGGGTGGAGGAGCACCCAAGTGAGCCTTTTTCCTGGGGGAGCTCCCAGCTCTGCTCCGGGCCTACCTTTTAAATGGGTGGAGGAGCACCCGAGCGAGCCTTTTTCCTGGGGGAGGTCCCAGCTCTGCTCCGGGCTTTCCCCTGGGAATGGTTTTTGGGGAGGATGGGATGTGCAAGCGGTGCCTTGACATCTCCTTCATCCCCCCCACCCCTGCCCTCCCTGGGGTGGATGGAAAACGGGACGAGAAGTCAACGTGGGTATTGCTCAGTGACATTTCCAGCGTGGAACGGGGAGATTTTGTCCTTTTCCCCAGGCTTGCCCCCCCAGGTGCTGAAGGAAGGGAATCGGGGAACGGGAATGGAGAATTTACGGGCTGCGTAAATGAGATTTGGTTAAGGAGATTAGGGAGAGGTGTCTGGCTCGGTGTGGGGCTGGAGGGAAGATGATGCTGGGCTGGTGGTACCTCCCCTACCTTCGGGCCGCTCGGGGTTAAGAGAGCGACCTTCATGGGACATTAGGTTTAATGAAGGGGTTTTTTGCGTGATTTAATTAAGATTTATTTGCAATCAGCTGGAGCGCCCTTATTAAGTAAATTCCAGGACTGGAATGATGTGGCCATAAGGTTTTTCCAAGCCATGCTTATTGCCGGGATGCTGTTAAAATGGGGAGAGGGATTAATGGGGAAAGGCTGATGGTCGGAGCGCTGGTTGGGAGCGCATGGTCCTTTTGAGAGGACCATGTGTCCCTTTCTGGGGGACAGGTCCCCAGAGCTGGACCTGTGTCCCCTTCTCAGCTCCCCATATTCCACCCCAAAACCTTCAGTTACAGCTGGTACCCGTGAACACACCCCCCATCATGGACACACATGTAATGAGTTTATCCAAGAGCCTCGGGGCTCATGCAGGCGTCGGGGCGGCGAAGTGGGGGGGTTATGCTAGCAAGCTGGAGTCACTGGGGCTGAAAGACTCTAATTATCCCCAATTAGATCGACTTGCTCAGAGCTATCAAAGCAAAAGGCCCTTTTGGCTCGCTTTGCCCCCGGCAGGGGCGCGGATGTGACCTGCTGAGGAGTGAAAAGCCCCATGAATGGCACCAGGAGGTGACACGTGGGCCGTGGGTGGGTGAGAGGGATGAGTCCTGTTTCTTCACGGGGAGAGGGTTGAGTCCTGTTTCTCTGTGCCTCGATTTACCTGATCTTTAAGAAAATCCATGCCCACCTCCCACCACGGATCCCAGAGCGGGCTGCCAGCAGGAGGAGAGCGTGACACGCCGATGCGGGTCCCTCGCATCCCTGGATGCTCTTTCGGGCTCTGCTGAGCCTCCCCCCCCACCCCTCCATCCTTGTCATCACTGGGTGGACCGAGTGGGAGCGCTTTGGGTTTAAGACACCTGGAAAAAACCCATCCCTGTCACCTGTGTGTGTGTGTGTCTCCCCTCCTTCCCCAAAATGCCCATCTCCCCGGCCACCCCCGCGTCCCGGTGCGGCCGCCGCCGGCGGAGGAGCAAATCCAGCGCCGTTCCCAGCTGCCATCGGAGCCGCCCGGGTGACTCAGCAGCAGCAGCAGCCGTGCTGAAAAGCATCCCTTATTTATCCAAACGCCCGCTCGCCGCTCGGCTGAGCATCTCCCGCAGCCATGCTGCCGCTGGGCAGGGAGGAGGAGAGCGGTACCCGCCACCCCCCGGCCCCAACTGGGCTCCCCAGGCCATGGCTTTGACTACCTGGGCTCTGGGCTCGGGGCTGCGGCTCTGGGACGCCGGCCCTGCCTGCTCCTGGGAGATGCTGCACGTGGCCGGAGCAGGTACCTTGTCCCCCCAGGGTGCTGGGTTGGATCTCCTGGGAGGGGGGGAAAACGGTGACCTTCAGGGCCATTTTAAATTTTTTTTTTAATTTTTAAAATTTTTTTTAATTTACAGGGAGAGGAACTCGATATTTTACTTTATGTTATATAAAAAATATATGTGGCTGTTTTCTGCTGTTTCTTCTTTTATGCCCCTCCCCTCTAAAGGGCACAAGGGGTGCATGTGTGAGTGTGGTGGGTGTTAAAGGAAAACGGTGCCTGGAAGAAGGAATGTCTGTCTGAGAGCCTGGCTTGGGGGGAGGAGAGGGGGGGTTGTTGCCCCAGTGTTAGGGTTTGGGGCTCTGAGGGTCCGGGGGGGTCGCAGATGGACCAGGCACTGAGCTGGTGTCACCCCCGGCGTCAGGAACAGCCTGGGTTTGTTGCTTGCTGGAGGTGGGGGGCAAATAAAAACAAGGGGGGGATCTTCCTCTTTCCTCAAGGTCCGTGCCATTTTCACTCTGCTTTTTGAAGGGTTTGTGCTCTCCCTGTCGGTGCCTGTGCGTGTCCAGGTTGAGCAAAAACTGAGAGAAGGCAGGGGTTTGGGGAAAGGAAAGTTTCTCTCCGTTTCATGCGAGCGGAGTAAGAGAGGAACCCTTTTGGTGCCCTGCTTCGGGGAGCTCAACCCTCTTACGAGACATCAGAGAGTCTCATCTGGAGGCACTGCTCTGTAGGAAGCCCTGTCCTTCTGCTGGGCCATGGTGGGATCCTGCCCTGAGGTGGCTTTGGGTTGAGCAACATTCCTGCCCGGACCATGTTTGTCCCCCCAAACTGTGGGACCGAGGGGTCACCCGGGTCCCCTCTCCCAGCAGGCTCTTTGGGTCTTCATTTCTCTCCTTCTGCTGCTTTCTTTAGGTGAGACCTTAAAATTCTTCCTCCTTCTGGAAGCGGAGGTCGTGTTAGGTGAGCGGGGAAGGCTTTTAGATTTAATTATGCAATTATTATTGATAGGATCCGTGCTGCGTCTGCTCTTCAGCTTCATTCATCAGGATGAGGGATGGGAGACCGGGAGCACCGCCGGGCTCTTTGCTCCTCTTCCCGGGGCTGGGAATGTGCAATTAATCCTGAGAAACACTCTAAAGTCACCTTTCTTGGAGGGGAGATGATTGTGGAGGGGCACCTGGATCCTCAGCTGGTGGGGGAAGCTCTCTGGCTATTTTGCAGGGAGAGCTGGTGGCCCGTGGGGAGAAGCTGGTGGGGGACGTGTGGCCCGACGAGGGGGGAGAAGAAGTCACTCTGCCCCGGCCGTCCCGGGCGAGGGGAATTTAGGAAAGAGGATCCAGCAGCTCATCAGATGCTCGTTTGTGTGAGCGGCAAACGGGAATTTATTAAGGGGCCAGATTAAAGGCACTTTGGAAAAAGAGCAGAATTGATCGGCGGCGGGTGAGGAGGGAGAGACGAGACTTAGGAGTAAGATACTGAACAGAAGTAAAATATTGGATAGAAGTAAAATATTGGATAGGAATAAAATACTGGACAGAAGTAAAATATTGGATGGGAATAAAATATTGGATAGGAATAAGATACTGAACAGAAGTAAAATATTGGACAGGAATAAAATATTGGACAGAAGTAAAATATTGGACAGAAGTAAAATATTGGATGGGAATAAGATATTGGATAGGAATAAGATATTGAACGGAAGTAAAATATTGGATAGGAATAAAATATTGGATAGAAGTAAAATATTGGATACAAGTAAAATATTGAATAGGAATAAAATATTGGATACAAGTAAAATATTGGGTACAAGTAAAATATTGAATAGGAATAAAATATTGGATAGAAGTAAAATATTGGATACAAGTAAAATATTGGATACAAGTAAAATATTGGATACAAGTAAAATATTGAATAGGAATAAAATATTGGATAGAAGTAAAATATTGAATAGGAATAAAACATTGAATAGGAATAAAACATTGGATAGGAATAAAATACTGAATACAAGTAAAATATTGGAAACAAGTAAAATATTGAATAGGAATAAAATATTGAATAGGAATAAAATATTGGATAGAAGTAAAATATTGGATAGAAGTAAAATATTGAATAGGAATAAAATATTGGATACAAGTAAAATATTAGATAGGAATAAAATACTGGATAGTGGGAAGGTGTTTGCAGAGAGAAGTGTCAGGAGCTCTTTGCCACCGCAATAAGGTGTCCTGGGCTTTGGGGACCCCAAAGGGGACCCCAAAAGGGACTCCAAAGCACGTGATGGTTTCGGGGGGGGTGCAGGATGCCTCCCCCCTACGGGCACCCTCCGTCGGAGGTGACACACTCGGGAAGGGGGGGAGAACGTGGTGGGAAGCGAGCGGTGCCAGCGCCGGGCAGGCCTGAGCTCATGCGTTCCAGCAGGAGAGGTCTCCAGCTCCCATCAGCCCAGCCTTTGTGTGTGTGTGTGTATGTGTGTGTGGTGTCCCCCCCCCATCCTCCCCCCAGCTTTCCTGGAGCGGTTGCCAAAAAGCAGCCCCGAATTACTCACGCTTCCCCGGGCTCCCAAAAGCTTTTGGTGCTTTGGGGTGGCCGACCCCGGCCTGCTCCATGGGGTGCAGCGTCCCAGTAACGCCGGGCTCAGGGGAAAAAATGCATTTTGCTGGAGCAGGGGTGGGGGGGTCCTGGCGTGCAAAGCCCTTGGAGTGATGCCGGGGAGAGCAGTGTATCCAAAAATCTCTTTTTCCTTGTTTTTTTTCCCCTGCTTTTTCTAATATTTATCAGCATCTCAGAGGCAGGGTATGGCTTTGCAGGGGGAGGATGTAGGGGGTGGAGGTGCCCACGGATGCTGAGTTCTCTGGTGCTGCATCTCGTGTGGGAGCACCAAGGATGCTCCAGAGCCCGCCTGGACCACTGGCTGTCCCTGAGCCCAAGATGGGGGGGATCCCTGAGTGCTGCGGGGGGTTTGCTGTGGCCCTGAGAGAGAGGACGTGGTGCAGGGAGAAATATCCAGGTCACACATGGTGCCTTCTTCCCTTGGCAGCTCCCAAAAAGCAGAGTAGGGGGTTGGGATGTGGGGCTGATTGCTTGGCTCTGAGGTGGGATGAGGCTGGTAGCCACCGTTTGCTGTGGACTTGCCACTGCGAGGGGTTTGCCTCCAGAGGAAGGCATGGCTTGTGCATCAGGGACAAGCTGCTGATGCGTCTGAGACCCCTCAAAAAGAGGGGCTGCTGACAGCTCCCCAAAAGCAGAGCAGGGGGTTGGGATGTGGGGCTGATGGCTTGGCTCTGAGGTGGGATGAGGCTGGTAGCCACCGTTTGCTGTGGACTTGCCACTGCGAGGGGTTTGCCTCCAGAGGAAGGCATGGCTTGTGCATCAGGGACAAGCTGCTGATGCGTCTGAGACCCCTCAAAAAGAGGGGCTGGCTGTGTTTGTGTGGGTGTCCTGAGAACTTGCCACTGCGAGGGGTTTGCCTCCAGAGGAAGGCATGGCTTGTGCATCAGGGACAAGCAAGACACAGGTCACCCGGTGGCCCCCTCGGGGCAGAGGGATGGCGGACCATCAGCCCGAAGGTAGGGGAGCAATGGAAGGTGTTTGGTGTTTCTCAACAGCTCAGCTTTGGAGCTGCAAACAGGAAAATGTGTTTTTCTTTCATATCCTTCATAAGATATTCTCTTATTTTTCTGTCTCACTGTCTCCATCAGTCTGTGCTGGCTCCGTGGGGACCATGGGGCAGGGGGGGAGCAGTGTGTCATAGAATCACAGAATGGTTTAGGTGGGAAGGGACCTTCAAGACCACCCAGTGCCACCCCCTGCCCTGGGCAGGGACACTTCCCACCACACCAGGTTGCTCCAAGCCCCCTCCAACCTGCCCTTGAACCCCTCCAGGGTTGGGGCAGCCACAGCTTCTCGGGGCAACCTGGGCCAGGCTCTCACCATCCTCCCACCAAAGAACTTATTCCTAAGAAGAAAGTGTCCTTGGGTGAGTGGCTGGAGGAAAGAGCTCTTGGTCTGAGGACCTGCGAAAGAGGATCTTACCAGATAGAGAGGCAGAAATATAGGGAATCTTTGGACATCTTGGTCTCTGGGGGCTGCTTTCTTGGGTGAGAAAAGCAGATAACCCTGCAGTCCTACGTCAAACGATGCTGGTCTCCAGCCAGTTTCCTGCCTCTTGGCTACGGTTTTCTTCCCTTGATATTTTTTTTTTGGCTGCAAAACTCTAGGATGTCATCAGCTTGGTGCCCTGCCCCCTTCCTGGGCTTCCCTATTGAATCCAAGGATACGTTTTCCACCAAAGGCAGCTCCAGGCAGGGTTTTGCCCAGGAGCTGAGGATATTGTCCCCGTTGACCATCTCCTCTCTCCCCCAGGTGTGTGTGGCTGCTGCGGCGCCCTGCGTCCTCGCTACAAAAGACTTGTCGACAACATCTTCCCCGAGGACCCAGAGGTAAATGAGGAGATGCTTCAATGCCCTGGAGCTCTGGCGCTTCACACACCAAAGCTCCAGTGCTCGGGTGGCAGGGACATGCTGTGACCTGCCCAGAAATAGCTCCTGGGAGGCGGGTGACGCTTTGACTCCATAAAACTGTGCCTGGAGGGTTGGCTTGTCCTTTAAAGCCTGTTTGTGAGCGGAGAATACAGAAGGAGCTCCTTCAGCCACATCGGCCTGGAGGGACAGGCTTCTTCTCCCAAAGGTGCCAGGCAGATGTGGAGGATGGATGGATGGATAGGAGGGAGGATGGATGGATGGATGGATGGATGGGAGGGAGGATGAGGGAATGGACCTGATGACGTACATAGGGAGGATGGATGGGAGGATGGATGGGAGGATGGATGGATGGATGGATGGATGGATGGATGGATGGGAGGATGAGGGAATGGACCTGATGACGTACATCCCTCACAGCAGAAGGGCTCCAGCCCAAGTCTGGTGTGTTGGGTCTGGGTGCGAGGCCATGACACCCTGCCACTGCTCTCTTTCAGGATGGGCTGGTGAAGACCAACATGGAGAAGCTGACATTTTACGCCCTGTCTGCCCCAGAGAAGCTGGATCGCATCGGAGCCTACCTCTCCGAGCGGCTCATCCGAGACGTGAGCCGGCACCGCTATGGGTAAGGGCTGGGAGGCTGCTTCAGCCCATCCCAGTGATTAACATAATGATGGGACACTAGAGGGGGACCAAGCAAGGGGTGGGACATATGGGCCACGCAGCTCCTGTGTTCTCCAAGCTGTCCTGAAGCTGTGACCACCCAGCAGAGAGACCTGCGCACATCTTGGCTCCAAAAAGGAGACATGGGGGAAGTGCAGGGATGGGCAAACTCCTTGTAAAGTTTCAGGGGACCAGGCAAGCTGGGAGCCACGGAGTGAGCAGAGAGACCTGCGCACATCTTGGCTCCAAAAAGGAGACATGGGGGAAGTGCAGGGATGGGCAAACTCCTTGTAAAGTTTCAGGGGACCAGGCAAGCTGGGAGCCACGGAGAATTTCCCTGACATCATGTTCTCTGTGCTTGAGGAGTCTGCTTGTGTGCAGCGTTTGTCCCCAGCAGCAGGACTGCCATCATCCCTCTGGGCCATCATCAAGGCCAAGTGCTGGGTCCTGCACTGTTTCCCTGGCATCGTGCTCTCCGTGCTTGAGGATTCTGTGTGTGTACAGCGTTTATCCCCAGCAGCAGGACATCCCTGCTGCCATCATCTCTCTGGGCCATCATCAAGGCCAAGTGCTGGGTCCTGCACTTGAGTCACACCAACCCCATGGATGCTCCAGGCTGGGGGAAGAGTGGCTGTAGCTGCCCCATGGAAAAGGACCTGGGGGTGTTGGTCAACAGTCAGCTGAAGATGAGCCAGCAGTGTGGCCAAGAAGGCCACCAGCATCCCGGCCTGTATCAGAATAGTGTGGCCAACAGGAGTGGGGCAGTGCTTGGGCAATGGTGAGGCCCCACCTTAAGGGCTATGTCCAGTTTTGGGCCCCTCACAACAAGAAAGGTGCTGGAGCATGTCCAGAGAAGGGCAACGGAGCTGGTGAGGGGTCTGGAGACCAAGGAGAAGGGTCTGGAGAACTTTAGAGGAGCTGGGGGTGTTCAGCCTGGAGAAAAGGAGGCTGAGGGGAGACCTCCTCACTCTCTCCAACTCCCTGAAAGGAGGGGGTAGCTCAAGTTGTCTCAGGGGAGGTTTAGGATGGAGATTGGGAGAAAATTTCTTCCTGGAAAGGGTTGTGAAGCCTTGGCAGAGGCTGCCCAGGGCAGTGGTGGAGTCCCCATCCCTGGAGGGATTTCAAAGCCGGGCAGACGTGGTGCTGAGGGACATGGGTCAGTGGTGGGTTTGTCAGTGTTGGGTTGATGGTCGGGCTTGATGATCTGAGAGGTCCCTTCCAACCTGGACATTTCCATGATCCTGTGTGGTCCTGGCTGGGCCCTGTCCCTTCATCTTCCCTCCCCACATCCCTTCCAGCAAGGCTGTGCTGTGGGCTTTGCTGTGTCTTCTGCGAGGAGAGCACCCATCCCCTGGAAGGACCTGACTGCCCTGATTAGAAACGCCAGGGGGGCAGGGGAGGGCTCCTTCCCTTTGAAGGAACTCCTGGATTGATTCTTCTTGTCTCCCGAACAAAAGCCGCCGCAGACAAACACGGCTCAGCTCCGCGGTGGGGACTCACAGCCTGCCTTTCATCCCGGGGGAAGAGAAGCCAGCAGAAGTGTTAAAGTTGGGAAAAAAAACCCAACCTTCAAAGCCTCACCGGCGTCACCCGTCATCGGGAGTGACAGGACATTCAAAGCTTCTGCCTGCCATTCGGCGGTGGAAGCGGCTGTTGCCAGCCTCTGCGTGCTACTGTTGGGAAAAGAAAAAAGGCTTTCAAAAGATTATTTTTTCTGACATCTGATGACAAGCCTCGGCGGGTGGAGGGAGGTGGCGGCGGTGGTGGTGGGGGGAATATGTTCCTCCCTCCCCCGCCTGTGCATAGAGGCACGTAATTGGGTTGGAGCACCGGCTAATTCTCAAAGTTTGACTTTGAAGTGCCTGAAAAGAGGTTTTGGATCAACCTTCCCTGTGTAGGTCCGGTGGTGGCTGGAGCAGAAGGGCTTGCCCCGCAGTAGGCACCAAAGCTGAGCACGTGGAGACCTCTCCTGCGTGGGGGATGAAGGGAGCCTTGATGTCAGGCCCATGGGGTGTCATCTTTTTTTTTCTTACCTTTATTTCTAAAAGGAGAAAGTGTTCTTGTTTGAGTTCGCAGCAGCCCACCATCTGTACGAGGATGTAGCTCAGAGGTGACAACTCCACAAGTGTCCCTTCTCCCTCTTGGTGGCCTGTGTATGGTTGTCCCCCAAAGAGAAGCTGTGCTGTTGCAAAAATATGGGGCATAGAATGTTGTTTTCAGCCTTATTTCCTGTGAGAAAAAAGCATGATGCTTTGTGCTGGTCGTCAGTCGCTGCTTTGTACCTTTTTTTTTCCCCTCTGGACCAGTTTTAACCCAGTTTGACAGATGGGTAGGTGCCTCCCAGATCCAGGAATAGCTGGTGGCTTGTTTTCATAGTGTCTAGAAGAACTGCAATGGTGCCTGACGGACAGGCTGCGGTCAGAGCTCAACCACGCTACAAGACACCAGCGAATCTCCTCAAGACTGAAGCCAGATTTCAGCAGCTCTGAGGCCTCAGGAGAAGGAATCGGTCTTGCTGCTTCTTGCAGAGAAACCTGCTTGCTCTTGGAGTCCCTCAAGGGGCTCCAGGAAAGCTGGGGAGGGACTCTGGATGAGGGAGGGGAGCCCTAGGAGGAGGGGGAAGGGTTGGACAAGCAGAAGGGCTCCAGCCCAAGTCTGGTGTGTTGGGTCTGGGTGCGAGGCCATGACACCCTGCCACTGCTCTCTTTCAGGATGGGCTGGTGAAGACCAACATGGAGAAGCTGACATTTTACGCCCTGTCTGCCCCGGAGAAGCTGGATCGCATCGGAGCCTACCTCTCCGAGCGGCTCATCCGAGACGTGAGCCGGCACCGCTATGGGTAAGGGCTGGGAGGCTGCTTCAGCCCATCCCAGTGATTAACATAATGATGGGACACTAGAGGGGGACAAGGCAAGGGGTGGGACATGTGGGACATGCAGCTCCCGTGTTCTCCAAGCTGTCCTGAAGCTGTGACCACCCAGCAGAGAGACCTGCGCACATCTTGGCTCCAAAAAGGAGACATGGGGGAAGTGCAGGGATGGGCAAACTCCTTGTAAAGTTTCAGGGGACCAGGCAAGCTGGGAGCCACGGAGTGTTTCCCTGGCATCGTGCTCTCCGTGCTTGAGGATTCTGTGTGTGTACAGCGTTTATCCCCAGCAGCAGGACATCCCTGCTGCCATCATCTCTCTGGGCCATCATCAAGGCCAAGTGCTGGGTCCTGCACTTGAGTCACACCAACCCCATGGATGCTCCAGGCTGGGGGAAGAGTGGCTGTAGCTGCCCCATGGAAAAGGACCTGGGGGTGTTGGTCAACAGTCAGCTGAAGATGAGCCAGCAGTGTGGCCAAGAAGGCCACCAGCATCCCGGCCTGTATCAGAATAGTGTGGCCAACAGGAGTGGGGCAGTGCTTGGGCAATGGTGAGGCCCCACCTTAAGGGCTATGTCCAGTTTTGGGCCCCTCACAACAAGAAAGGTGCTGGAGCATGTCCAGAGAAGGGCAACGGAGCTGGTGAGGGGTCTGGAGACCAAGGAGAAGGGTCTGGAGAACTTTAGAGGAGCTGGGGGTGTTCAGCCTGGAGAAAAGGAGGCTGAGGGGAGACCTCCTCACTCTCTCCAACTCCCTGAAAGGAGGGGGTAGCCGGGGTGGTTGGTCTCTTCTCCCAAGGAACAGGCCATGAGACAAGAGGAAATGGTCTCAAGTTGCCCCAGGGGAGGTTTAGGATGGAGATCGGGAAGAATTTCTCCATGGAAAGGGTTGTGAAGCCTTGGCAGAGGCTGCCCAGGGCAGTGGTGGAGTCCCCATCCCTGGAGGGATTTCAAAGGTGGGCAGACGTGGTGCTGAGGGACATGGGTCAGTGATGGGTTTGTCAGTGTTGGGTTGATGGTTGGACTCAATGATCTGAGAGGTCCCTTCCAACCTGGACATTTCCATGATCTGTGTGGTCCTGGCTGGGCCCCATCCCTTCGTCTTCCCTCCCCACATCCCTTCCAGCAAGGCTTTGCTGTGTCTTCTGCGAGGAGAGCACCCATCCCCTGGAAGGACCTGACTGCCCTGATTAGAAACGCCAGGGGGGCAGGGGAGGGCTCCTTCCCTTTGAAGGAACTCCTGGATTGATTCTTCTTGTCTCCCGAACAAAAGCCGCCGCAGACAAACACGGCTCAGCTCCGCGGTGGGGACTCACAGCCTGCCTTTCATCCCGGGGGAAGAGAAGCCAGCAGAAGTGTTAAAGTTGGGAAAAAAAACCAACCTTCAAAGCCTCACCGGCGTCACCCGTCATGGGGAGTGACAGGACATTCAAAGCTTCTGCCTGCCATTCGGCGGTGGAAGCGGCTGTTGCCAGCCTCTGCGTGCTACTGTTGGGAAAAGAAAAAAGGCTTTCAAAAGATTATTTTTTCTGACATCTGATGACAAGCCTCGGCGGGTGGAGGGAGGTGGCGGCGGTGGTGGCGGGGGGAATATGTCCCTCCCTCCCCCGCCTGTGCATAGAGGCACGTAATTGGGTTGGAGCACCGGCTAATTCTCAAAGTTTGACTTTGAAGTGCCTGAAAAGAGGTTTTGGATCAACCTTCCCTGTGTAGGTCCGGTGGTGGCTGGAGCAGAAGGGCTTGCCCCGCAGTAGGCACCAAAGCTGAGCACGTGGAGACCTCTCCTGCGTGGGGGATGAAGGGAGCCTTGATGTCAGGCCCATGGGGTGTCATCTTTTTTTTTCTTACCTTTATTTCTAAAAGGAGAAAGTGTTCTTGTTTGAGTTCGCAGCAGCCCACCATCTGTACGAGGATGTAGCTCAGAGGTGACAACTCCACAAGTGTCCCTTCTCCCTCTTGGTGGCCTGTGTATGGTTGTCCCCCAAAGAGAAGCTGTGCTGTTGCAAAAATATGGGGCATAGAATGTTGTTTTCAGCCTTATTTCCAGCATGATGCTTTGTGCTGGTCGTCAGTCGCTGCTTTGTACCTTTTTTTTTCCCCTCTGGACCAGTTTTAACCCAGTTTGACAGATGGGTAGGTGCCTCCCAGATCCAGGAATAGCTGGTGGCTTGTTTTCATAGTGTCTAGAAGAACTGCAATGGTGCCTGACGGACAGGCTGCGGTCAGAGCTCAACCACGCTACAAGACACCAGCGAATCTCCTCAAGACTGAAGCCAGATTTCAGCAGCTCTGAGGCCTCAGGAGAAGGAATCGGTCTTGCTGCTTCTTGCAGAGAAACCTGCTTGCTCTTGGAGTCCCTCAAGGGGCTCCAGGAAAGCTGGGGAGGGACTCTGGCTGAGGGAGGGGAGCCCTAGGAGGAGGGGGAAGGGTTGGACACTGCAAGAGGGGAGATGGAGCTGAGCTGTGGGGAAGAACTTGTTTGGTGGGAGGGTGGTGAGAGCCTGGCCCAGGTTGCCCCGAGAAGCTGTGGCTGCCCCCTGGGAGAGGGGAGGAGGAGGAGAAGGGATGTCCATGTGTCCATGATGCTGCTGCAGGGGATTTACCCTGGTCCCTGCCTGCTCCCAGGTACGTCTGTATCGCCATGGAGGCCCTGGACCAGCTCCTCATGGCCTGCCACTGCCAGAGCATCAACCTCTTTGTGGAGAGCTTCCTGAAGATGGTGGCAAAGCTGCTGGAGTCGGAGAAGCCCAACCTGCAGATCCTGGGGACCAACTCGGTGAGTAGGCATGCAGGGGGAGGTGGCTGCACCTTGTCCTTGGCTCGCCCTTGTCCTTGGCTTTCCACCCTGCCTGTCACCCCCACCTCTCTGCACAGTGCCAGGGCAGGGAACCTTGTTGGGAAAGGATGGGGAGGGTTTATGGTGCCCCATCTCACATGTCCTGCCATGTGTGAGGTTTCTGAGACCCCGTCTGTGCTGCTCATGTGCTTTCTGCTGCTTGATGTCCATGACCAGTCACAGAATCACATGGGGTTGGAAGGGATCTCTGGAGATCATCTCCTCCAACCCCCTGCCAGAGCAGGTCCACCCAGAGCAGGTCCCACAGGAAGGTGTCCAGGTGGGGTTTGAATGTCTCCAGAGAAGGAGACTCCACCACCTCTCTGGGCAGCCTCTGCCAGGGCTCTGCCACCCTCACAGTGAAGTTCCTCCTCATGTTTAGGTGGAACTTCTTATATTCAAGTTTGTTCCCATTTCCTCTTGTCCTGTCTACTGGGCACCACTGGGAAAAGCCTGGCCCCATCCTCCTGACACCCACCCTTGAAGTACATATAGGTGTTGATCATATCTCCCCTCAGTCTTCTCTTCTCCAGACTAAAAAGCCCCAAGTCCCTCAGCCTTTCTGGTGGTCTCTGGTCTCTGTTCAGAGGTGCAGGTCTCTGATATCTCTGCCCTCTCTTGAATTCAGCTTTACCGGCAGGGGCCCGAGGACACGGGGGCTGTCAGCGGTTTCAGACAATAGACTAACTGAGGAGATGATCCCCATGGATTTTGGGAGCTCTTTGTGCTCAGAAAAGGGCTGGCTTAAAGCGAGCTGCTGCTTGCACTCGATGGCTTAGGGGGACTGGGGATGTGTCAGTCACAGACAGTGAATGAGGGGAATGGAGAAGCGTGGAGGAACAGAGGTGATGTTCTCCTGGCATCCAAACTGCTGGTCCTGCCTGGCAGCCAGCAGCCACTTGTGTACGGCCTTTCTGCTGGTTTTTACTGGGAGCACTGGGTGTACCTGAAACCAGAGCTTGTGAGGGCTATGCCAGCGGACATAGCTGGAGGGTAGGAAGGCTCTGCAGAGGGGTCTGGACAGGCTGGATGGATGGGCTGAGGCCAGTGGTGTGAGGTCCAACAAGGCCAAGTGCCAGGTCCTTCACTTGGGTCACACCAACCCCATGGATGCTCCAGGCTCAGGCAGAGTGGCTGGAGCTGCCCCGTGGAAAAGGACCTCGAGGGCTGTGTCCAGTTCTGGGCCCCTCAAGACAGAAGGAGCTTGAGGTGCTGGAGCGTGTCCAGAGAAGGGCAATGGAGCTGGTGAGGGGTCTGGAGACCAAGTCTTGTGAGGAGCATGTGAGGAAGCTGGGGGTGTTCAGCCTGGAGAAAAGGAGGCTGAGGGGAGACCTTCTCACTCTCTACAACTCCCTGAAAGGAGGGTGTAGCCGGGGGGGGGTCGGTCTCTTCTCCTGAGGAACAGGCGATGGGACAAGAGGAAATGGCCTCAGGTTGCACCAGGGGAGGTTTAGGATGGAGATTGGGAGAAAATTTCTTCATGGAAGGGTTATGAAGCCTTGGCAGAGGCTGCCCAGGGCAGTGGTGGAGCCCCCATCCCTGGAGGGATTTCAAAGCCGGGCAGACGTGGTGCTGAGGGACATGGGTCAGTGGTGGGTTTGTCAGTGTTGGGTTGATGGTTGGACTCGATGATCTGAGAGGTCCCTTCCAACCTGGACAATTCTATGATTCAGCAAACTGCTCCCCAGCACAGACATCCTTGAGTGGGAGGCGTTGGGTCAAGGCAAGAGTGACCTTTGTGGAGCAAACCCCCCTGTTCTCAGGCACCCATGGGGAGCAGAGGTGGTCCTCAACCACGGAAAAGTGTTTCCTTAGTGCTGTCACTGCGCTCAGGAATCATTAGCGGGTGTTTTAACGAGGAGTCTGGATCAGGAACGATGCTTTAGTGATGCTTTTTTATGGCTCCTCAAGCGTGACGGCGTTCAGAGGGCAAATGGCACGGCAAACTCGTGGGCTTTTATAGAAAAGTGAGTAATGATAATGAGACACTTCTTCCTATATCTGCTAATGAGGAATGCGCCGCAGGCTCGTGCTTAATTAGAGGGTGCTGTCTCAAGCAATCTTCACAATAAAGGAGCTGATGGCGAAGGCGGGAGGAGGTTGTTTATAGAAACCTGCTCCAAGTGAGTCATCCTCGGCAGCGGCGTGAAAGGAAGAAATCTTGCCTGGAACACATCCCCCTCCTCGCCCGGAGCTGAGGTGTCACACTGCAGGGGGGTCCTGCTCCTGGGGGACCAGCCACCAGCCTGGCTGGAGGTGGCAGGGAAAATCCAGCATCCCCTCCTCGCTGTAACCCCATCCCCTAATCCCCCGGGGTTGAACATATGGAGCTGCAGCTTAAATCCACTGTGGCTTCTCATCCTTGTTAGGAGGCTGCTGGGCAACCTCCTCCCTTTGGGGAGGAACTGTCTAATTTCCAGCTCCATGTCATTCCCAATTTTATTTTTCCTCGAACCAACATCGATCTTTCGTTTAAACAGCTCTTCCCCCGCCTTGAAGTTCCTCTTCGAATGCATTTGTGTCTGCTGTATTTATAGGTGGCAGTGTTATCCCTTCCCAGCTGTTCACAGACTGATACGGAGTTGGAAGGGACCTCTGGAGATCATCTTCTCCAACCCCCTGCCAGAGCAGGGCCACCCAGAGCAGGTCCCACAGGAACGTGTCCAGGCAGGGTTTGAATGTCTCCAGAGAAGGAGACTCCACCACCTCCCTGGGCAGCCTCTGCCAGGGCTCTGCCACCCTCAAAGTCAAGAATTTCCTCCTCATCTTGAGATGGAACTTCTTATATTCAAGTTTGTGCCCATTTCCTCTTGTCCTGTCCCTGGGCACCACTGGAAAAAGCCTGGCCCCATCCTCCTGACACCCACCCTTGAAGTATTTATGGGTGTTGATCAGATCCCCCCTCAGTTCTTCTCTTCTTGAGACTAAAAGACCCAAGTCCCTCAGCCTCTCCTCATAAAAGAGATGCTCTGGGGCCTCATTGTCTTCGTCGCCTCTGCTGTCCCCTCTCCAGCAGTTCCCTGATCCTTCTGGAACTGGGGAGCCCAGAGAAGAGGGGCAAATCCCCCCCCGACCCTGCTGGCCACGCTGCTGGGGATGCAGCCCAGGGGGCGGGGGACTTGCTGGGCTGCCAGCCCACGTTGCCATCCCATGGCCAGCTTTCATCCTCAAAGCCCCCCACAAGCCCTTCTGGGCAGGGCTGTTCCCCATCTCTCCATCCCCAGCCTGGGCAGGGACCAGGGGTTGCCACCACCCAGGGGCAGGACCCTGCACTTGACCTTGTAGAACCTCATGAGGATCACACAGACCCACTTCTCCAGCCTGTCCAGGTCCCTCTGGATGGCATGCCATCCCTCAAATGTGTCACCATACCACTCAGCTTGGTGGTATCTGCAAACTTTCTGAGAGTGCCCTTGATCCCACTATGTCATTGAGGAAGATACTGGAAAATACTGGTTCCAGTACACCCCTTGAGGGGCACCACTCCTCAGTGATCTCCATCAGGACATCAGTGATCTCCATCGCGACATCAGTGATCTCCATCAGGACATTGAGCCGTGTTGCTGGTGTGGCTGGGTGGGCTGACAGTCCCTTCTTGGCCACGGGATGGTTGGGATGGCATCCCTGGAGCTGCCACAGGGAGCCCTGGTACCGCTCCTCACTCTGCCCATGCCCTCGCCTCCGCTCGCTTGTGGAGATACCATGAGCTTAAAAAAAAAAACCACCCCACTTTGTGCTTTGTCTGGAACAGAGGTTCCTTATGTAACAGCCCTGCATTTTTCTGGTGAGTAAGAGGAGTTTTATCAGTTGGAACCGGTCCCTGCTCTCTGGGAACAATCCCTGGTGGGGCTGAGCCGGCTCCTTCGCTTGCCCATCAATGATCTCCAATGGGACATTGAGCTGTGTTGCTCACATGGCTGGGTGGGCTGACAGTCCCTTCTTGGCCACGGGATGGTTGGGACAACTCTCCTGGAGCTGCCACAGGGAGCCCCGGTACCCCTCCTCACTCTGCCCGTGCCCTCGCCTCCGCTCGCTTGTGGAGATACCGTGAGCTTAAAAAAAAAACCCACCCCACTTTGTGCTTTGTCTGGAACAGAGGTTCCTTATGTAACAGCCCTGCATTTTTCTGGTGAGTAAGAGGAGTTTTATCAGTTGGAACCGGTCCCTGCTCTCTGGGAACAATCCCTGGTGGGGCTGAGCCGGCTCCTTCGCTTGCGCAGAGCCAGCCCTTGCAGCTGAGGGTATTAATAGCCTGGCACAGCGGGTGCTAATGATAGAACCATGGGATGGTTTGGGTGGGAAGGGACCTTCAAGTTCATCCAGTGCCACCCCCTGCCCTGGGCAGGGACACCTCCCACCACACCAGGTTGCTCCAAGCCCCCTCCAACCTGCCCTTGAACCCCTCCAGGGATGGGGCAGCCACAGCTTCTCGGGCCAACCTGGGCCAGGCTCTCACCACCCTCCCACCAAACAAGTTCTTCCCCACAGCTCAGCTCCATCTGAGCTCCATGGATGAGCTCCCCTGCAGCAGCATTTGGGAACTGTTGACTGGGTTTTGTGCCATCTGGGAGGATGGGAAGGAGCTGGGGACAATTTGATTTCCTCTCATTAGTGTGTGCTGTATATTAAGGGTCCCTAATTCAAAGCCTCGTTACACCTCTCAATGCCTTTTACAAGCACTACTGGGGTTCGAGGTGAGGTTTGCAGTATCCTCAGCCAGGTCTGGGTGCTGCTGGAGCTTGGTGGGACAATATGATGGCACATTCCTGCTGGAGAACCCTGTGTCCTGGGCCACCTGCTTTGTCACCCCGAGCCCACGCCAAGCTGCTGTAGTGAAGAGCCCCGAGTTACGCTGCTGAAGCCCACAAACGTTTGCTGGTTTGGGGAGGGGTGGAGAATATTGTTGTTCTCATGCCCTCTTTCTTCTCCCCCCACCCAGTTCGTGAAGTTCGCCAACATCGAGGAGGACACCCCCTCTTACCACCGCAGCTACGACTTCTTCGTCTCCCGCTTCAGCGAGATGTGCCACTCCAGCCACGATGACCTGGACATCAGGACCAAGTGAGTGCCACCAGCAGAGTGTCCCCAGCCCTGCTGGCCCCATGGGTACTCCCCTCTGCCCCCCAACCTCCACCTTTCCTGGAGAAGCCCCTGCTTTTGGGGACGGGTTGGATGGAGGCTGCAGGGACCGATTGCTTTGGCTGTGATGGAGATGCACAGTGACTCCCCAGAGATGGGTGCATTCGGGATGCTCTTCTTTACACTCCCTTAGTTTCCAAGCTTTAAACCTTCCTGGTTTATTTGGGAGGATGAAACAGGAGCCAAGAAACCACAGTGGAGCCCATGTCCAGCCACGGTTTGTGTTTGCTGTCCTGAAAGCAGGACAGATGTCCTCACTGTGACCACAGCTGATGTCAGAATAAGGGACAAATGTGCCCTTGGGCTTCCGACTTCTTTTCTTTGGGCAAAATGTGAGCAGGTAAAACCTGCAGTCACAGGGTGACCTTGGTGCATCTCCAGGCTTTAGCCTGGAGACAAGGAGGCTGAGGGGAGACCTTCTCACTCTCTCCAACTCCCTGAAAGGAGGGTGTAGCCAGGAGGCGTTGGTCTCTTCTCCCAAGGAACAGGCGATGGGACAAGAGGAAACGGCCTCAAGTTGCCCCAGGGGAGGTTTAGGATGGAGATTGGGAAGAATTTCTTCATGGAAGGGGATGTGAAGCCTTGGCAGAGGCTGCCCAGGGCAGTGGTGGAGTCCCCATCCCTGGAGGGATTTCAAAGCCGGGCAGACGTGGTGCTGAGGGACATGGGTCAGTGGTGGGTTTGTCAGTGTTGGGCTGATGGTCGGGCTTGATGATCTGAGAGGTCCCTTCCAACCTGGACAATTCTATGATTCCTCAGCGGCATGGAAACCATCCCCAGAGGTGTCCATCGCTGTGGAGAGCCCTCTTGGCTGCCCTGGAAAGGCACGTTGATTCTATGATTTAAGTGTTTCTCCCCTTTGCTCCAGGGCCACGTCCTGCAGAGAGCTGGAGCTCAGGGCAGGGGGCAAGGAGTGATCCTGACCCCCAAGGGAAGGATGATGATGAGGGGAAGAGACCCCCAGGTCTGAGCAGCACGAACGTTCACTCAAACAATTGCCTCCTGCCATAACTGGTCTGTTATTTTCCACCTTTAAAGGTGGTTTCATCTCTCTGGACGGCGTAGAGGACTGACTTGCTTTGCTGTGATGGGAAACGTGCCCCGGAGGGGATTAATTACAGCTAAAGCAGACAGATTAATGTTGTTTACAGCTGCCAGGGCCAGGGCTGTCGGTGGAGGGTTTAAAACAGCCTTGTGAGGCACCAGTAGCAGCCGTGGCTCCTGCTGGGGAGCTGGGGGCAGGAGGCCACCGCTGCCAGGGACAGGTTTGAAGCAGAGCCCAGATGTCAGGGCAGCCTTTTGGGCACATCCTCTTGGTGCTCTTCCCAGAACTGCTCTACCAGGGACTGGTTTTTCCTTGCAGAGGGTTGAGGTTCTCCACTCCTGGTGGAGATGTGGCTCTAAGGTCCAGGCTTCCCTCCCTTTAACGCCGCAGACTCACAGGGTTGGGGTGGGTGGTTTTTTTTTTTCCCCCTTAAGGAAATAATGCAGAAGGCTCATTATTTTCAACTTGACCCTCAGGGCAGCGGTCACGCTGGCTAAATTGCGTCGGAGGCTGGAAGAGAGAGGTTCTGCAGCTCCTGTAATTAACAAGGAGTGCTCTGCTTTGGTGGGCCCTTGGTGCTGCTCAGAGCTCCTTCCTCAAGGCTTGCGTCTCAGTCTGGTTATTGCCTTGATTAGATCTGCAAAATGTGTCAGGGAGACCTCAGAGCAGGTTATTTAATGCCTTTATTTCTGCAGATAAGCACTTGCTGTTTTTCTCGGGCATGACATCTCCTAAAAGACAGGCTGAGAGAGTTGGGGGGGGGCAGCCTGGAGAAGAGAAGGCTCCGGGGAGACCTTGGAGCCCCTGCCAGTCCCTCAAGAAGGGGGGCTCCAGGAAAGCTGGGGAGGGACTCTGGCTGAGGGAGGGGAGCCCTAGGAGGAGGGGGAAGGGTTGGACCCTGCAAGAGGGGAGATGGAGCTGAGCTGTGGGGAAGAACTTGTTTGGTGGGAGGGTGGTGAGAGCCTGGCCCAGGTTGCCCCGAGAAGCTGTGGCTGCCCCATCCCTGGAGGGGTTGAAGGGCAGGTTGGAGGGGGCTTGGAGCAACCTGGTGTGGTGGGAGGTGTCCCTGCCCAGGGCAGGGGGTGGCATTGGATGATCTTGAAGGTCCCTTCCCACCCAAACCATTCCATGATTAGCGATGGGCATTGAGGAGCTGGTTTCAGACCTGGGAATCCTGCTGCCTAGGGACATTTTTATTGATGACTTTATTAACCAGAGCAGAATCAGGATCTTTACACCCAGAAAGGACACAAGTGTCAAAAAGCCCCTTGGATTCCCTGGCACCCAGCATCCCCGTGGGTACAGCTGGGTTCTGCAGCTGCTGGGGACAGAGGAGATGGGGAAAACCCTCCGTGCATCTCATGGCAGGAGAACGGAGACTTCTCAGGTCCAAACCCAATCCTTCAGAAAGCCCAGCTCGTGGTGCCACCTCTCCATCCCAGGCAGTGGAGATGTGTGGCTGCTGCTTCCCCTGGGGGCCTCCCAGGAAAAATGATGGATGGGACCCGGCTGCTGCTGCCAGGATGATTTTTAGCTGGTTCAGAGCCTTTTCCCTCTGGCATCTGTCAGGCTGAGGGAAGCCACCTCCCTCGGGGACACTGGGATGTGCCAGACCTGGGGCTGGGGCATCACCTGCACAGACTCCCTCCAGCGGTGCAGAAATCAGTGTCTTCCCTCCAACTTCTTGCACCGTTTTGCAAGAAATAAGTGTAAAATAACGTATGTTATGTGGATACATAGCATTTTGGTGTCAATTTATCCCCCAGGATCCGCATGTCTGGCATTAAAGGCCTGCAAGGGGTGGTGAGGAAGACGGTGAATGACGAGCTCCAGGCCAACATCTGGGACCCACAGCACATGGACAAAATCGTGCCCTCCCTGCTCTTCAACCTGCAGCACGTGGAGGAGACCGAGAGGTGGGTTCTCGCCGCCGCTGTGACCCACCAGTGGCCTTGGGGCTGCTTTTTTGGCCGGAGGGAAACCCTCTGAAGGATGATGCTGCAGGTGGCAGGAGCTCTGCTTGAAGGTTATTGCTCCCTTGGAGGACGCAGGACACCATGATTCCTGGGGAGGGAAAGAGCTCTCAGCACCATCCCTGCAGTGAAATCACACTGTTTGTGAGCTCTGAGCTGCCTGGTCAGTGGGCTGACCTCTTGGGGGGGGGGTGTGTGTGGAAAATTCCTGCATTAAATGCCACCAGAGCAGTTATTTTAAAGCAGGAGGCAGGAGGCACCTGAGGAAGGGAAATAGGATTTTGCTCCCCGTCCCTCCGTTCTTCCAGCGTCACCCCCACCCCCTGCAGGCTGCCTGCTTGCCACCAGCTGGGGGTTTGGTGGGGGGTTGCTGAGCTGAGAAGTGTGGATTGGAGAAGAGGGGATGGATTCCTCCCAGGGATTCTCCTTTTGAAGGTTAAGAGAGATGTATCAGCCCCGGGAAGCTGGCTTCTGGCCAGATAGATGCCTTTTCCCTTTTTCCTTGTAAACTGAAGCACCAAGGTGATAAAAGCCTTTCGTGGTGCTTGCGTGATGCCAGACGAGCCCCAGTGTGGGAGAAGGGGATGGATCTCCCCTGGGGTGTGCGTGTTGAGGGTGACTTGTGCCAGGCTCTGACTGCTTTGCTTTTTGGACCCCCAGGGAGGCTGTGTCCACCCTGGGAGGACATCATGTCGCGTGTCTTCACCCATAAGATCCCTCCTCCTGCCCTGGGCAGGGACACCTCCCACCACACCAGGTTGCTCCAAGCCCCCTCCAACCTGCCCTTGAACCCCTCCAGGGATGGGGCAGCCACAGCTTCTCGGGCCAACCTGGGCCAGGCTCTCACCACCCTCCCACCAAACAAGTTCTTCCCCACAGCTCAGCTCCATCTCCCTTCTTGCAGTGTCCAACCCTTCCCCCTCCTCCCGTGGCTCCCCTCCCTCATCCAGAGTCCCTCCCCAGCTTTCCTGGAGCCCCCCTTCTTTAGGGACTGGATCCAGCAGCACTTTCTCCCTGGGTTCTGCTGGGATGGAGCTGCCCTCTCCCACCTGGCAGGGTGACATTTGGTGGCCATGGGGCTGTGTGAGGAGTAGCCCAGGACCCTTGGGCGGGCAGATGCCATGACCCCCTTTGTCCTCCAAGCCTCCCTAGTGGGGTTCTGTGCCTCTTCTCCCCCCATCACCGCCCTCATCACCCTCCTCTGCTTTGGCAGCCGCTCCCCCTCCCCACTCCAAGCCACGGAGAAGGAGAAGGAGAGTCCCACGGAGCTGGCGGAGCGGTGCCTGCGGGAGCTGCTGGGCCGAGCGGCCTACGGCAACATCAAGAACGCCATCAAACCCGTCCTCATGTAAGTCACTCCCCCCCCTCCATGGGTTTTTTTGGCACGGGGGAGCGGGATGCTGTGGCTCCCCTGGGCATGGTGCTGGGGGTGGGGGCTGGATTCCAGGCTGAGCTCTCATTTCTGGATGTGATGAGGGAGGTGGGGTGGGATAGGTACCGGTTGCTGGGAAACGTCACCCCGGAGAGGGCTTTTTGTCCCTGCCCTCCCCTGGAGTGTTTGCCCTCCTGCTGTTCCTGGCCATCCTCGGAGCTGCTGGGAACCCCCCGCAGGATTTGGGGGGGACCAGCACTGACTTTGCTCTCCCTTTCCATCTCCTCCCCAGCCACCTGGATAACCACTCACTCTGGGAGCCCAAGATCTTTGCCACCTGCTGCTTCAGGATCATCATGTACTCCATCCAGGTGGGGACTCCGGGCTGGTGACACCTTTTTGGGGACACAACCGTGTGTGTTTGGGAATGCTGGTGGCTGCCTCCATGGCTGGGCTGAGTCAGAGCCACCACCACCGCATCCCGGTGCTGCCAACACCAAGAGCTCACCCATGAGCTTGGGCCACCCAAACGTGTCCCAAAGGAGCTGGGGATGGGGCAGGGTTGTGGGGGACCTGTGGGTGTGCTGGTGGCTGCGTGCCAGCCCTGCCTGTCCTGGAATGCCACTCCTGGAGCTGATGTCTCAGCCCCCGGGGAGCCATTCCCTCCCTTCTCAGCGGAAAGAGAAGCCCCCCCTGAATCCCATGGGCTGCCAAAGGCTCCCAGGAAAGCGGTTGGGCTCCGATGGAAAAGCTGCCTCTTTCCAGATCCCTGGAAATTAACCCAATCCCTGAAGAAAAAAAAAAAAAAAAAAAAAAAAAAAAAAAAGAGGGGCTTTCTGGGGTAAAACATTCCCCAGGAAAAGAAGACATGGCAGCCCAGCATCCCTGTCCGTAGACATGGGGATGCTTGGATGGAGACCCTGCCAGGCCCTTCCCTTCTCTCTGGGAACCATGGAAATGCAGTTTAGATAAACCCCAAAGTGATGGGGAAAGGTCCATCCTCTGTTTTTTTGGGTTTTTTTCCCCCATGTGGGTCTTAATGCGTGATGCCTTCTCACCTTGCTCCCCGCTCTGGGGGGGCTGCCCCACATCTGCTGCCCCACCGCACCCCCTTGGCAATATTCTTCTCCTTTGGACTCGGCTCTGCTTGGAGAAGTCTTACAGAAAAAGGGATTGCCTCCCCCTGCTCTCCTGTCTGGCTTTTAATCCCGTAAACTGCCTAAAGCCCTTTTACAGCACTACTAGATTGGATGAAATCCTGTTAGTGCCTGTTGGGGGTGTAAGGTCACGGTAACTCAGCAGGACCCTTTTGAAGTACAGACGTGTTTGGGAAACCCTGGCAAAAATCAAATCCTTCCCACCCGACATCCCTGGGATTAATTGTCCCAGTTTCCTTAGATCCATACAGCTCTTTAGATCATTTTTCCCCCGTGCAAACTGCTCTGTGCTCTTGCTCAGTCGTGTAAAACAGGTTTCCTCCAGGTTCCTCCTCTCATTTTGCATCCAGAGATGTGTTGGAAAGAGGTGGGCAGGGATGCGCGGGCAGGATTTGTCCCCGGTGGCCACGTGGGTCACAGAAATGGGCCATCACCTTGTGCTCCTCGGGCTGATGCTCATGTTCTCCTTCCAGCCGCAGCATTCCCATCTGGTGATCCAGCAGCTCCTGGGGCACCTGGATGCCAACAGCAAGAGCGCGGCCACCGTGCGTGCGGGCATCGTGGAGGTCCTCTCGGAGGCGGCGGTGATCGCAGCCTCCGGATCTGTTGGTAAGTGGGTAAATTCCTCCTCTCCATCCATCTCTTCACCCATTCATTGCGGTGGGAGCGGTGAGGAGGTGTCAGAGGTTTGGGCTGGGCTTTGGTTGGGCTGGAGCATCCAGCATGGAGCATCCAGGGGTGCTCGGGATCTGTTGGGTGCCATTTTGGTGCTCCCAAGAGCAACACCCAAGTGGAGTGACCTAAACCCAGAGAGCTGAATGCTCTGCCTGCCTGTGCCATGGCAGGGAATTCAGGCTGTGAATGGAATCATAGAATTATCCAGGTTGGAAGGGACCTTTAAGTTCGTTGAGTCCAACCATCAACCCAACATTGACAAAAACCCCCACTGACCCATGTCCCTCAGCACCACGTCTGCCCGGCTTTTCAATCCCTCCAGGGATGGGGACTCCACCACTGCCCTGGGCAGCCTCTGCCAAGGCTTCACAACCCTTTCCATGGAGAAATTCTTCCCGATCTCCATCCTAAACCTCCCCTGGAGCAACCTGAGGCCGTTTCCTCTTGTCCCATGGCCTGTTCCTTGGGAGAAGAGACCGACCCCCCCTGGCTACACCCTCCTTTCAGGGAGTTGTAGAGAGCCAGAAGGTCTCCCCTCAGCCTCCTTTTCTCCAAGCTGAACACCCCCAGCTCCCTCAGCCTCTCCTCACAAGACTTGTGCTCTAAATATAGAACCATAGAACCGTTTTGGTTGGAAGGCACCTTTCAGATCATCGAGTCCATCCATCAACCCAACACTGCCAAAACCATGTCCCTCAGCACCATGTCCGCTTATTTGATGGTGCTCCTAGAAGGACATTTCTCTCCTGTCTTGACTGGAGGAGCTGGCGGGGGTTAAAATTCACCACGTGTCTGGCCAAGCTGGTTTTCAACCCAGTCACGGGGTGGTGGGAGGTAGAAACCACACTGTCCTTTGGGGAGGGGAGAAACTCCAGCCTCCATCTCCGTGGGGATGACCGCTGCTCTCCTCAGGGGCTGCTCCACCATCTCTCCCTTTCTTGCCCCCCCAGGCCCCACGGTGCTGGAGGTGTTTAACACCCTCCTGAGGCAGCTGCGCCTCAGCATCGACTACGCGCTGACGGGCAGCTACGACGGCGGCGGCGGCACCAAGATCATCAAGGAGCACGAGGAGAGGATGTTCCAGGAGGCCGTCATCAAAACCATAGGTGGGGCCTCCCCGCGGTGTTACGGTTTGAAGAACTCACAATGATTTACTGTTGTTTTCACCATTGATTTCTCACTCAATGACCCCTCGCCACCTGGGAAGGGCTAGATGATTAACATTAACGACACAAAACCCCCAATATCGATCCCAATACTGATATAAAACACCCAAGGATTATACTCGGCCCATCAAAGGAAGATGAGCCCTCCCATCGGGGGACAACCAATGTGGGACACTGTGGCTTTGGGAGGAAGAGAAGGGCTTGGGGGTCTGGCACAGGGGAAGGAGGCCTCAGGGTGGCTGCCATCAAGGGAGAGAGAAAGTGAGAACTCCTCAGCAAACTTTCTAATTTACATTGAGTATGATGAGAAATCCTTAGCAAACTTTCTAATTTACATTGAGTATGATGTTGATGGTATGAAATACCCCTGTTGGCAGCTTGGGACAAGTGCCCAGGTCTCGCTCCTCCTTATCCCCGCACCTGGGGAGCTCGAAAACACCAAGACCTTGAAAGCTGCACACCAGGGCTGGCTGTACAGTAAATATTTTCACCAACTCAGACACTGGATTCTTCTAAACATGCAGTTTTCCCAAGCATCCGAAGAGACCTTATGTAAAAGTAGAATTACTGGAAGAGAAATGAATCCTGTGTGGTTCAGACCAGGATGGTGTGGGTGACCTCCTGGGCAGTGGGTTTGTGCCTGGTGCCTCTGCAGGATTATCCAGGGTGAAAAGTCACCTTCATCTACAAGCAGTGATGGGAAATGGGATTTATCCACCGCAGCCGTGGTGGTGGGTTATCAGCAGGTGGCATCACAACCCCAGCCATCTGTGAGAGGCAGAGACCTCTTCCTCCCCGGACAGGAGACACTGGGGAAGGGAAGGAGAGGTGGGAAAGAAGGGAGACATCAGCCTCCTGTGGCTGCTGGGGATAGAATCATAGGATCACAGAATGGTTTGGGTGGGAAGGGACCTTAAAGATCATCTGATTCCACCCCCTGCCCTGGGCAGGGACACCTCCCACCAGACCAGGCTGCTCCAAGCCCCCTCCAACCTGCCCTTCAACCCCTCCAGGGATGGGGCAGCCACAGCTTCTCGGGGCAACCTGGGCCAGGCTCTCACCACCCTCCCACCAAACAAGTTCTTCCCCACAGCTCAGCTCCATCTCCCCTCTTGCAGTGTCCAACCCTTCCCCCTCCTCCTGGGGCTCCCCTCCCTCATCCAGAGTCCCTCCCCAGCTTTCCTGGAGCCCAGGTGGGCCTTGACCTATTCCATCCTGGTTATGGGGTTCTGGCAGGCAGACAGACCCCCACAGCACTGTGTCCTTTTTGGGGGGCTGCACCTCACACACTGCCACCAACGCTCTTGTCCCCACAGGGTCCTTTGCCAGCACTCTGCCCACCTACCAGCAGTCTGAGGTGATGGTCTTCATCATGAACAAGGTGCCGCTGCCGTCCTCGCAGCAGCCCATCGAGGCTGGCAAAGCTGGGTGAGAACAGATGCCTTCCTCCCTCCTCTTCCTCCCCCCTGCCCTCCTCTCCCTGCCGATGTCCCCTGTGCGGGGTGAATGAGGGGGGGCTGGAAGGGCTGGGGAGCTCCCGTTCCCACCTTGAGGTGACCTTTGGGGACCAAAGTGGGACGTGGGGGCTTTGTCAGAAAGGCTGAGCATCGAGAGCTTCCACCAAAGGGAAGCCGAGCAGCGTGTGATTCTTATTTAAAATTCTTTGCTGCTGTGAATTTGGTGACAACGTGACGTGCGCCTCGAAATACCGGGGCGTCGAGGAGGGGAAAAGGTGTTTCCAGGCAGCGGTGCTGCAGTGGGACCCTGCATTTCTGAAAATAACACTTGGAGGAAGGGGGAGCAACTTCAGCTGTCCCAGGGCTGTGAGGTGGCCACTGGCGAGCCAGGGTTGCCCATGGCTTTTGAGAGTCACAGAATGACATGGTGTTGGAAGGGACCTCTGGAGATCATCTTCTCCAACCCCCTGCCAGAGCAGGTCCACCCAGAGCAGGTCCCACAGGAACGTGTCCAGGTGGGGTTTGAATGTCTCCAGAGAAGGAGACTCCACCACCTCTCTAGGCAGCCTCTGCCAGGGCTCTGCCACCCTCAAAGTGCAGAAGTTCCTCCTCATGTTTAGGTGGAACTTCTTATGTTCCAGTTTGTGCTCATTTTCTCTTGTCCTGTCCCTGGGCACCACTGAGAAAAGACTGACCCCATCCTCCTGACACCCACCCTTGAAGTATTTATAGGTGTTGATCAGATCCCCCCTCAATCTTTCCTTCTCCAGACTAAAAAGACCCAAGTCCCTCAGCATTTTCTCATAAGGGAGATGCTCCAGGCACCTCATCGTCTTTGTAGCCCTCTGCTGTCCCCTCTCCAGCAGTTCCCTGTCCTTCTGGAACTGGGGAGCCCAGAACTGGTCCCAGTGCTCCAGATGGGGCCTCCCCAGGGCAGAGCAGAGGGGCAGGATGACCTCCCTCCCCCTGCTGGTCACGCTCTTCTTGATGCCCCCCAGGATGCCATTGGCCTTCTTGGCCCCAAGGGCACGTTGCTGGCTCATGGGCATCCTGTTGTCCACCAGGACTCCCAGGTCTTTCTCCTCAGAGCTGCTCTCCAGCAGGTCCCCCCCAACGTGTCCTGCTGGTTGAAGCTGTACAGCTGAGAAGCTGGTGTGTGGCTTCCTCCCCCCTCCGAGCTGCTGCCGAGCTTTTATTAGCACGGGTGGGGGAAGAGAAGGAAAGGGGGGGAAAACACCCAAACAACATAATTGCCTCAGAAGTGTGGGAGCAGCCCGTGAGAGCTATTTGGAGCCGGGGTATCGGCGCTGAAACGTGTAGGTAAAAGGAGCAAACAGATTTCCACTATATTTATCTCCCTATATTTATTTCCACGCTATATTTATCTCCTGAGCGCGGTCAGGCTCTTCCCACTTGTCTCTGGTGGGAGGGGAGGCTTTGCTGGCTGGTGGGAGCCACCACGCTCTGCTTCTTGCTCGTAGGGGGGTGATTCCCAACGCTGGCAGTCAATCCCAGTTCCCACACTGGGGGACACACTGGGAGCCCCTTGGCCAGGGCAGCTTTCCTCACCCCAGGGGTAGAATCAGGCTCGTAGCCCCAGGATGGCATCACTTCTCCTTGCTAGGGTGGTTGTCCAGGGCTGTTTGTCTCTGCTTCCCCCAGCAGAGTGTTTTTTATCTCATCTGATGCTTCTGGAGGGATGGTGCTTGCTCTGGGGGGTGTAGGTGACCCTCAGGAGTTTGTGGAGGAGCCTGTGGTTTGGCTGCTGTAGCTCAGTCCCTGGGCAGAGGAAGGCAGCGTGTCCTGAGTGATGGGACAGCCTGGAAATCCCTGTGTCCCCTTCCAGGGCTAGGAAAGATTATGTTCAGACAGTAGAGAATTCAAAATTCCCTCTTTTTGACATAAAAACCTCTCTCACGTCGCTGAAGTGGAAGGGTGGTTCATGGTGGCTTTGCAAGAAGCGAGGCTTGAGCAAGGAGCAGGGGTATCTCCGTGGACAGGAGGGCGTGGGGCTTCATCCCATCAATTTTCAGCTGCTTGAAAGTGAGGAACCTGCTCAGAGCTGGTGCCTGGTGGCCCTCAAGAGTTGCTGTTGGGATGGGCACGTCCAGAGGTTGGTTCCTGCCTGGAAGCGTGAGTGCTGCCTTGCTCCTGGATACTTAAAATATTAATTATTCCTTCAGCAGCCTTTTTACTGGCTGTGCCTGTGGCAGGATGGATGCTTAAAATATTCATTATTCCTTCAGCAGCCTTTTTACTGGCTGTTAAATCCGGAGCTCGTTTGCTGGGGACCTTTACAGCACAGCTCTTTGGGGTGGTGGCTCCTGGTCCTGCCCTTTCTGAGGCTTTTCCATCCTTTGGGTACGGAAGGAGAGTTGTCTTGTTTTCACTTGGATTTTTACCATTTCGTTTCCTCTTCTCCCTGACAGGGAGAACCGGAATCGGCTGACACAGATCATGCTCCTCAAGTCCCTTCTCCAGGTATGAACGTGTCACCATCCCTGCAGGAGGATCCAACCCCCACAAGACCCATGGAGTTCCCAGCTGCTGGTGTGACCCTCTCCCCTGGGGTGGTTTGGGAAGACCTCAAGCTGTCCTTAGTCTTCTCTGCTTGCATCCCCTCTTTCTTGATGTGTTTTAACCCTCTCCAAGTGGCACTGGCACATTGTCTCCATTTTTCTTCAACGCTTGCAGGTCTCTGTGGGCTTCCAGTGCAGTAACATGCTCACGGCGCTTCCCAGCGCCTTCCTGGACAGGCTGCTCTCTGCAGCCCTCATGGAGGATGCTGAGATCCGCCTCTTCGTCCTCGAGATCCTCATCAGCTTCATCGATCGCCACGGGAACCGGCAGAAGTTCTCCCCCATCAGGTACGTCCCCAGCAAGGGCTGGGACCTGCAGAGGAGGTTGGGAGCCCTGGCAGGGTTGCTGATAAATCTGGGACCAGATTTTGGGGTGGTTTAATGCTGCAGATCAATGGTCTGCCAAGAGCTGGGTGGATGGGAGGTCTCTGAGAGGCTGTGCCCAGAGGGACATGAGAACGTGCTGCTGAATGTCACCGTGGTGGTCAGGAGGTGGTCCCAGGAGGATGTGCAGGAGCAATAACCTCCTTGAGCGGGTTCATCCACTCCATTGTATCCCCACGGATAGACCTACTGGTCACTGGTGTTGTCCATGCTGTGGTGTTACCTTGGAAGAAGGTGGCTCTAATCCCAGGTGGACACATCTCCATGGGGTTTGCTGTGGTCCTGCTCATCCTCTTTGCTCGCACACTCCTTTGACACCTTGCCTTTGTGTCCCTGAGCACCAGTGCTGTGGAATTGTGTAGTGATTTGGCTCAGCACTCGAATATCTGAATTGCTGAGATGGGTTTTAAAAGCCACCTTTAGTTTCTCCCCATCTCGGTTCCTCCCAGACGGCTCATTCCTGGCCAGCAGCTCTGTAGCTGTGAGAAAATTGTGCCTCCTCCCTCCGGTGTCTGAGTTGTCCCTTCCCCTTGGCCTTTCCTTGCAGCACCGTCAGCGACATCTCCATCCTGAAGCTGAAAGTGGAGAAATGCTCACGCCAGGATACTGTCTTCATGAAGAAGGTAGTGCTCAGGCTCTGGGTTCAAGCTGCCCTTGTGCAGACCGGTGGGAGGACCGTGCCTCTGTTTCCCCAAGCCACGCTGGGTTGTGGAGCACCACGATGCCTCTAAACCCGGGGATGTCCCTGAGAAAAGCTGGTGGGATTCAATCTCCATCGGTGCTCCATGTGTGGTGCTTTCTAGACTCCTAAATCTACCATTTCCCCCAAGGAATGAGTACCCCGGGATGTGCTGACCTCCCAAAAGCTACTTATCAAGTAGTTTTCCAAGTTGCCTGATTTTTATTTATTTTTATTTCCCCCCGCTACCTCCTTAAAAAGCTTCCAGGGGGGTGCAGACTCCTCTGGAGCCAACTTTGAGGCCAAGACGGGATGAGTTTGTCAGGTTGCACCCAACGGGGAGCAGCCGTGCAGCCCCCAGAGGTGTCACAGAGCTGATGTTCCCCGTGCCCTGCTCTGTCCCATGCCTTGCTCTCAAAGCCATGTGTCTCCACGTTTTATTTTCCTCCTGTGGTCTGAGCTGTGATTTGCTTTGGCAACGGAGTCATCCTTTCCTTGGGCTCGGTGGTGTGAGCGCTGGTTGCCAGCCCTGGGCTCTGCTCTTGGACCTCTTGGTGCTTCTTCCCCATCAAGGTCCAGCATCCAATGGTGAAACACCACCTGAGAGTCCCACCTCCCTCTCCCTAGGGCTTCTTTTTTGGTTGCTTGGTGGCTGGAGGAGCTCTGCTCCCTCTCACGTGGATGGAGCCCCCTTTGCTGGGTCCCTGCTGCTTTTCTTTCTCTGCGTTGGTGGCAGTGCTGCTCGCAGGAGGTGACCCCATCCCTCCGTGTCCCCACAGCATGGCCAGCAGCTCTACCGGCACATCTACCTGATATGCAAGGAGGAGAGCAACGTGCAGGCTCACTACGAGGCGCTCTACAGCATGCTGATGCTCATCAGCATTGAGCTGGCTAACGAGGAGGTCATGGTGGACCTCATCCGCCTGGTGCTGGCAGTGCAGGTAGGTAGGGGGGGAGCTGGGGATCCTCAGCGCCGTGGGGTGGACGGACTGGGATGCGATGGGATGGGAAGGGGGTTGTTTTGGAGTTGGGGTCTTTGAGGAAGTGGGATGGAAGTGCCTCACCTTCTCTGAGGTTCTCCTACCATGGTGGGATCAGACCAACGATGCTCAGTCACCTTGGCAGCCTCTGCCAAGCTCCAAAAAGCTGGGGTGTTTGTGGGGCAGGTCATGCCATGAGGTGGATGGGGACCACATGAGGACCTTGTCCATCCTTGTCTCACGGGGCTGTGTCTCTGCTGCAGGAGATCGCCCAGATCAACGAGGATAACTTGACGGCGTACAACCGCTGCGCCCTCTTCGCCCTCGGTGCAGCTTACCTGAACCTCATCAGCCAGCTCACCACCGTGCCAACCTTCTGCCAGCACATCCACGAGGTGCGAGGGAGGGTCTGGGGATGGGGCTGCCATCAGCTCTCCCGGCCACCCATGGTGGGGTTTGAGCCTGGCTCCTTGCTTGTCTTCTGCAGGTCATCCAGATGCGGCAGAAGGAAGCTCCTTACCTGCTCCCTGAAGATGTCTTTGTGGAGAACCCCAGGTGAGAGCCTGGAAAATCCCCTCTTTTCCATTACCTGCTCCTCAGGGATTGGCATCCATAAGACCGTGGGCAGTAATGGGTTTATCAGCCCTTCATGTGCCTGTGTTTGTCCCCAGTCCCACCTGGGGATGGCGCAGTGGGAAGGGCATCAAGTGGTCTTCGACCTGTTTAGAACCTGAGGAGGGTCCCATGCAGCCAGGGAAGGGGGTGGCCACCACAGCTTGGGCTCACAGCCAGCCAAATGTGGGGATCAGCTCCACTGGCTGATCCATCACCTTCTCTGGCAGCAGGATGGCTGTAGGTCTGGTGTGTCACCCTGCTGTTCTGCTGTGCCACTAGCTTGAGGATGCCCATCTTCTGCTGAGCAGGTCCCATCTTTGCTAGTCCCGTCCTTGCTAGCCCAATCTTGGCACTCTTGGTGGTCACATTCGGTGGAGACGCTGCCCCCATTGAGCACCACTGCTCTCTGGAGACATTCCCTAGGTCAGGCTGGTCCTTCCTGAGCTCCTCCGTAGCCTCCATGGTGGCTTGAGAGCTCTTCTAGGGCATAGTTCCCCGGGCAGGGGAGATGCTGCCACCTCCGTTGGTTCTTCTCTAACCTCCATAGGTTGAGCAAGAGTCTTGATCGCCTCGGCCCGGAGGTCTTCTTCTGGCAGAGCAAGATCAGTGAGGTGCTGGGTGGCAGTGGCTACAACTCGGACCGGCTCAGCACGCCCTACATCCCCCAGCTGACAGGTAGGCAGCACCCTGGGGCGTCCTGGAGAACTGGGAGGGCAGGAAACCAGTCCCTTGCTCTGCAGTTATTGGGGGAGTGTGAAGTTGGGGGAGTGTGACATTTAGATGTGGTACTGAGGGATATGGTGTAGGGGAGGACTTTGTAGAGTAGGGTAGATGGTTGGACTCGATGATCCCAAGGGTCCCTTCCAACCTCAATGATTCTATGATTCTTTGTCTTCCCCCTGGGCCTGGTGGTTTTCTGCCCCGCTCTAGAGGGGTAGCTTTGGGGAAACTGAGGCATGAAGCAGTGAACTGGAATCTTCCTGGAGTTCCCACATGCATGGATGGATGGATGGAAGGAGCCATGAAGGCCACTGGGCTTGGCTCGGTCCTCAGTTCTGCTGGTTTGGATGAATTTGAGTTGATGGCTTAGAGGGACTGCTACCCCGGGGATGGGACATGAGGCTGTTTTTCCCCCTGTGCTCACCCTACTGTCCCCGAGGTGGCTGCAATTAGCCCTTCTGCCCTTTCTCCTCCTCCCCAGATGAAGATCGCTTGTCCAAGAGGAAGAGCATTGGTGAGACCATTTCCCTTCAGGTCGAGGTGGAGTCAAGGAACAGTCCTGAGCGAGAGCAGGTACCGTGCTCCGGGTGCTGCCGGGTCCCAGTCCACAAGGGGTGTGTGGTGGGTTGACCCTGGGTGGACACCAGGCTGGTTGACCCCTCCTCAGCTGGACGGGGGAGAGGAAACTCAACAAAAGGCTCATGGGTCAAGATAAGGACAGGGAGGTCACTCTCCAATTGCCATCACGGGGAAACCAGAGTTAACTCAGGGACAATAATTTAATTTATTGCCAATGAAATCAGAGGAGGGTAATGAGAAATAGAAACTACATCTTAAAACACCTTCCCCCCACCCCTCCCTTCTTCCTGGAATTGACTCTGCTCCCCATTTCTCTCCCTCGGCCCCCCAAGCGGTGCAGGGGGACAGGGAATGGGGGTGGTGGTCGGGATTGACTCTGCTCCCATTTCTCTCCCTTGTCCCCTGAGCAGTGCAGGGCGACAGGGAATGGGGGTGGTGGTCAGTTCACCACACCTTGTCTCTGCTGCTCCTTCCTCCTCAGGAGAGGAGTCCTCACGCTCTTCCTCTGCTTGAGCGTAGAGTCCCTCCCATGGGAGATAGTCCTCCATGAGCTTCTCCAATGTGAGTCCTTCCCAGGGGCCGCAGTTCTTCATGGACTGCTCCAGTGTGGGTCCTCCATGGGCTGCAGGTGGATATCTGCTCCACCGTGGACCTCCATGGTCTACAGGGGGATATCTGCTCCACTTTTGGGGAGATTTAAGACCTGACTAGTCCAGCCTGAAAAAAAAAAACACACCAAAACATTTAAAAAGTGCTGTTTGCCAGGACAGATATCCATGATCTTTAAGGAGAAACTGTGTTTGGGTGCAGGAATGCAGCCCAGGACACTGGTTTGGGGGTTGTTGTGACCCCAGGAGGGTGTCCTGTGCTGTGCGTTGAGCCTCATCTGCTTTTCCCCTCCCTTCAGAGAGCACCAGCAGAAGAGATCACGTACGAGACGCTGAAGAAGGCGATAGGTAAGTGATGGAGAGGTGTGGATGTATGGGTGCTGTCACCACGGGTGGGTACGTCCCCAGCCATGGGACAGAATCACAGAATCTTCTAGGTTGGAAGGGACCTTAAAGATCATCTTGTCCAACCATCAACCTAACTTTGACAAAAACAGACACCCACACAACAAACAAAAAGCAACATCATCACTAAACCATACCTCCCAGCACTACATCAACCTGTCTTTTGAACACCTCCAGGGATGGTGCCTCAACCACCTCCCTGGACCATTGCACCCAGGTCATGGGGCATCTCTGCTTGGCCCTGGGGGTGTCCCTGGGGGGGGCTGGTCCCAAAGCCAGAGACTGGAGACCCTTCTCTTGGCTTTCTAGCGATGCCCAGGTCCACCCTGTCCTCTGGGGAGGTGGGGGATGTGGCAGGGGGTGGTCTCTGAGCAGCTGAGAACCGTGTCCCCTCTGCTTCAGTAGACAGCGTCGCCGTGGAGGAGCAGGAGCGGGAACGGAGGCGGCAAGTGGTGGAGAAATTCCAGAAAGCCCCGTTCGAGGAGATCGCTGCCCACTGCGGGGCCCGGGTGAGTTGGGACTGGGACACCCTAAATCCCCGCGTCCCCTTCTGCTGGGGAAGAGGGGTCTTTGGGGTGACAGAGGGGACAAGCCTTGCTGGGAGCGGCCTCTGGCTGATAACAGTCTCTGTCTCTGTCCTACAGGCCACGCTGCTGCAGAGCAAGCTCAACCAGATCTTCGAGATCACCATACGGTGAGTTGGGGTCACGGCAAGCGTGGGGTGGCCACCAGGCCAGTGCTGGCCCCTTGTGTCCCCCATCAAGGAGGTTTCACGTGCTGGGGATGGGGTCTTAGTGATGATGGAGGGGACAAGTGCTGCTGGGAGCAACCTTTGGTTTGCCCATGTTGCCCTCTGCTGTGGTGGCACTGGGAGATGTGTGAGAGGGCAGGAATGTGACAGCCTCCAGCTCTGGGGCAGGAGAGACATGGAGATGTTGGAGCGGGGCCAGAGGAGGCCCCGGAGATGCTGGGAGGGCTGGAGCCCCTCTGCTGGGAGGGGGGGCTGAGAGAGTTGGGGGGGTTCAGCCTGGAGAAGAGAAGGCTCCGGGGAGACCTTGGAGCCCCTTCCAGTCCCTCAAGAAGGGGGGCTCCAGGAGAGCTGGGGAGGGACTCTGGCTGAGGGAGGGGAGCCCTAGGAGGAGGGGGAAGGGTTGGACCCTGCAAGAGGGGAGATGGAGCTGAGCTGTGGGGAAGAACTTGTTTGGTGGGAGGGTGGTGAGAGCCTGGCCCAGGTTGGCCCGAGAAGCTGTGGCTGCCCCATCCCTGGAGGGGTTGAAGGGCAGGTTGGAGGGGGCTTGGAGCAACCTGGTGTGGTGGGAGGTGTCCCTGCCCAGGGCAGGGCCTGGAATCAGATGCTCCTTTAAAGTCCCTTCCCCCCCAAACCACTCTGTGATTCTATGATTTTCTCACCAAACCTCTCCATAACCCACCCCCTTCCATCTCTTGTGTTTCAGGCCACCACCGAGTCCCTCCGGCACCATCACGGCCGCCTATGGCCAGCCCCAAAACCACTCCATCCCGGTGTACGAGATGAAGTTCCCGGACCTGTGTGTCTACTGAAAGTGGTGGTGGCCAGGCAGAGCCACCACTGTGCAGCTCGCACCAACGGACCCCTCGGGGAGAGACGGTGGACCTTCTGGGGAGCACATCCTCGTGCTGGACGGGTGGGGACACGGACACTGAGGCCACCCCAAGATTCGTTGGTGCCATCAAACCCGTCTCCCGTACTTTATTTTGTGACTTTCTGCCTCCGTGGCCACGGATGGTGGTGCCAGGAGGCTCCGGGGGACGCGGGGGGAGTTGCTGTGACCTCCCTCTCCTGTTTCTTAGATGTTTCTTGGAGAGGGGAGAGGAGAGACGCTCCGACAAGAGCTCCTTGGGCATGTACATCTTCCCAGCATAAAACAACCCCCTTCCCTGGGGGAATCCCTCCCCACCTTGTCTGTTGGCCACGGCGGGAGCCCCCGGGAAGGGGCAGGGGTGAAGCTGGGGGGGTGTAAAAGGCAGGAGGGGAGGGGGTCTGGGGCTGGATCCTGGGGCTGCAGAGGAACCCAAGCCTGCCCGAGCTGGTGCTGGAGAGGGTATGGTGCCCCCTCCATCTCCCAGCCTGGGAGCCTTCATCTTCCCATTGCCCCATCATCGTGTGACCAGCTCCCACGGGCTCTTCACGGTGTCTTCATGAAGGGTTTGCCCAGTGCAGCACCAGGGTGGGCATCGTCCCATCCCAGTGGGGGGGCACACAGCAGCCTGGCTGGTTCCAGGTCACTGGAAAACAGGGTTTGTCTGAGAAAACTCACTTATTTTTTTTTGGGGGGGGGGAAAACCCACAAGAGTGGTGCCATGAGCCGGATAGTGCGAGTGGGCCCACGTGTGGTGGGACAGGAGGCAGGAGCCACCACCACGCTGAGGAACATGAACGCTGTTCGTATTTTTGGGGGGGAGTTGGGTTTTCACAGTTGGGTTTTCACAGTTTTGGGAGTTGCCATCTCAAAGAAATATTTATTTATTTAATTATTTGATTAATCTGTGAAGAAGACAAAGCCCCATCTGAACGTCAGCTGAGCCATGAACCACAAAGAGGCCCCCGGCGCCGCAGGAAATAGCTGCCACCCGAGGTGTCTTACGGGGTCTGTTCTCGTGCAATAGGATAAAACTGGATTTGGGGA